GTGTCAAAGGCCTTGCTGAAGTCCAGAAAGACTACATCCACCGCGACACCTGCATCCATGGCCTTTGTGACCTGATCGTAGAAGGCAATCAGGTTGGTCTGACATGATCTCCCCCTAATAAATCCATGCTGATTGCCCCTGAGCATCATTTCTGATGCCGGCCCATCACAAATGTGCTCCTTGATGATCTTCTCAAAGAGTTTCCCCAGGACTGAGGTAAGACTGACGGGCCTATAGTTGCCTGGGTCCTCCCTCTTCCCCTTCTTGAAGATAGTAAACTGTTAGTTCCCAGAGGAACTGAAAATGTTTTGAGGAATCTTTTTAAAGAAGCTGTCAGAGAATTATCAGATGTAATAGAACAGAAATATACTGTATAATTAGAAAACAAGCCAAGCAAATATGGCCAGACCAAAGTGCCAAGGCAATTGACATAGAGGTCTAGAAGGATATTTTTGCTCTCAATTTCCTATTTTAATATACTGAAGGAACTAACACTTCTAGTTTTTCTCCATTTCAAAAGGTAAAAGAAAGAAAATTAAACACACGTGTTTATCTGTAGGAAATTTCTGTGCAGGTAAACATGTATAAAAATGAGCTGTAAAATACAGTTTATGAAGTGAGGTATAACCACTTCCTAATTTTGATATATTTGTAGTTCCATATTTTGACAATAGTTAACTTTGCAACATTTTCAAAACTCTTTAGGAATAAATGAGGCTTTTCACAAAAAAACTCTTACCTCTCCACAGCACTGTTTTGCCAATTCCTCCAATTGTTTTTTTAGTAAATTAATGTTTTCATTTGACAAGCCTTTTGCATTTTTTAGCTCTATTTCAGGAACACTGGGAGAAGGAAATCAGAAGAAATGCATACATCAAGAATCAGATGCATATCAGAGAACATGCAGACTACAAAACAGGTTAATAAAAGGTTTTCTTGGCAGTGAGCCAACAATCACTATACAATACCCAAACAAGTAATTTACTGTCCACAAAACTGCTCAATAAAACTACTTTATACACAACAGTCCAGTTTCCTAGCTCAAAAGAGACTAAACAGTTACAACCAGCAGAACTGTCCGGATATAGCTGGCTGTGCTAAGTAGGCCTCTTACCAATAACTTCTTTTTTAAAAGACCATACAGGTTTCCTTCCCCAACCGCTGGGGTTAGGTTCCTGAAAGTTCCCATGGTTGGCAAAACTGTGGTTGGCAAGACAAAAGGCTTATTGGAAAAGTGGCAGGTGGCGGGATGACGCAGAGCCACAGAAAACCATGGTTACTCAAAACTGTATACTGCGGTAGCCAAAACGGTATATAGAATATTAAGCGTGGATACTCAAAACTGTGGTCAGCAAGGGAAACCTGTACTGAAAATGTGACACATATTACTGATTTGAGATATGGATGTTTTAGATATAGATTCCCTTATCTAATACACAGGCAATATAAAATTAGTCTGAGCCATACACTGTATTAGAATATATTAAGGTAAATAGCAGCATGATCTTTTAAAAGTTTAAGCTTCTTTAGGCATAAGAAAAAAAATCTGCAATTATGCTAGCTTAAATAATACAAACATTAAGGGTTGCCAAACCTTTTGTTTCAGGACATAATCAAATCCAAATCATCATTTGGTTAGGAATGTTTCCCTTTCCTATTCAGAAAACAACTGGTGCTCAAAAACAAATGGGTGTACTAAAGTGGAGTCACTTTTGCGTTGGAGCATGTAGTGGTGGACAACATCACAGGCAGATGTGCCGTATTACCTACTGGCATATTCGACCAGAGTAAACCTTATCCAGAAAATTATGGAAGTACTATCAAGGCCAAACCCTAGACAAGGACATATCACTTGCAATCTTGTTCTATAGTTTGAAAGAAAAATACCCATCAGTGCACCAAAAGGCTTATTCAGCACTGTACAGAACAGCAGGTTTAAATAGGGCAAGTGCATAACTTTAAAGATAATTATTTTGCCTCTTATTCAGTGAAGTCACATATTAACTGCAAGTCCTCAAGTAGATTCACTAATTTCTATAGGACACACAGTTCAAGCTGCACATGCGGTTATGTACCTTGCTGAACTGGAGCTTAAAATGCTAACTGACATTGTCAGCTGTGTCACATGAGGAATAATGAGGGATGATGTGTTTCAAGTGCACGATTCAGAAGGATTACTCATTGCCAGATGGATCACTCAAGAAGTCCCCCACTTCTATACCCCACGTCTAAAAAACAGACATGTTCAAGGCAAGAATAAAAGCAATAAACAAGATAAAATTAGAGGTGCACCAATACATCGGTCCCATATTGGATCTGCACCAATACAGGGATAATTGACAGTACCGGAAATTGGTTATTTTTGCCTGATGTGGCTGATAAATGCCCTGTGCACATGCACAGATGCAGCATGCATGTGGCCAGGAGCACAGCCTGGCAGTCTGGAGAGCAACATCTGGCTGTTAAGTCTGTTCTGGGGAAATGGGGGTGGGGAGAGGAGCATGGGGGGCAGATTGCAGCCCCCTCAGTGAGGGAGAGACTGGGGCAGGGGCAGGTGCTGTACAGCCAGAGCAGGGCAGGGTGTGGGGTTCACCTGAGGGTGCAGCTCCCATTGCTGCATATACCTGGGGAGGGCATGGTGGGGTACCCCCAGATCTGCACGTGGGATGGGGTGGGGCTGGATGTCACCAGGGGTGGTGCCATTCCTGGTGGGAGGTTGGGCCGGAACTGTGCTTGGGGCAGGTGGCAGTGGTGCTGGAAGGGAGCTATGGTGGGGGGGAGGGGCCATGGCAAATTTTGGGGTGACTGCAGCACTACCTGTAGCCTCCTCCAAGCACTGCCACTGTTCGCCTCAAGCACAGCCTGGCCGAGCCCCCCAGCTCCAGCCCGCAGCAGCAGCCCACCCTCACCCCATGCAGATCTGGGGGCACACGCTCCCCATGCCCTCCCAGGAAGCATGCAGCAGCAGAAA